TATATATACACACACCCCTACAATGGATCATCTCTTTGCGACCTTATTGTACCTGTTACTCATTAAAGGCATCCTTGAAGTTCACAATTAAAAGTTTCCTTCACCATCCACATTCCAATTTTCACAATTAAACCATCTTGGACAGCACTTTCACTGCTGTGACTCCAGTTTCATCTACTCAAGAGTTAAAAGTGCACAGAGAAGTGAACAAAATCTCTGAAATACAAATTCTATCCTATTATCATTCATACCAAATTACTACATGTCTCTCTCAGCAGACTTGTGTAATGTGTCAAGCTTTTGAAAGATACAAATTCATTTTTCTGTCAGGTAAAAAAAAAAAGGTATGTTCTTTAAATCCTGATATTTACTTGTACATTCCACATAGAACTAGAAAGAATATAATTTAGGGATCAAAATGCTAGTGCTTTAAAGTCAACAGCAGCAGTTTCAGTTCAGGGAAATCCTCCATTTTTCCATTACACTGAATTCTGCATTTTTAACAATGTTTTTAACAATGTTGGAAACATTTGAGACAAAAGCTTATAGTGAATTTTCAGCTGTTTACCAAAATATCAACAGTCACTGAAGCAAAATTGAGTTACCCAATATCTGAATAAACTCTTCAGTTCTTGCATTCCTAGCAAGTTCATTTGTATGACCATAAGAAAATTTAAATTTTGTATGGATTGATAAAATACATAGCAAAATGACTAAGAAGTTCTAAGTTATCTAATCAATATTTCAGACAGTGAGAGAAAAAAATGGAGGAACAAACATCAATGTCACATAAAAATAAAAAGAGGAGATATATGAACCCAACAAAATAGGCCCTTTTGTGTTCATACTGAACGATGCACTTCAAATGCAAAATTCATAGTAAAAAAATCCACTATGGGAAAACACAGCCTGTGTGACATATATCCTCAACAGAGTCCAAAGTACAAGTGAATGCAAGAATGCTTCAATTTGTATTAGGAAGTCAAACTATATGTAAAGGTTCAGTTATTTATTTTTCACACAGCAAAATTAGCCTTTGTCTTCAAAAGATAAAACAAAAATCCATCAAATAAAACTAAGTACTTTCCCGCTCTCTTAGAAATTTATCTAAATAAAACCTGTATTTGTAAGCCAGGCACCTCAGTGTAGAAAGTACTCAATGTGACAGCTGTCTGTATAAGCACATGCAGTGCATCGGTACATAGAAATATATTATTGGATCAGGTTGGACAGGGCTCTGAGCAACCTGATCCAATTGAAGATGTCCCTGCTCATTGCAGGGGGGTTGGACTAGACGATCTTCAAAGGTTCCTTCCAAAACCAAGCCTTTCTACGATTCTACGATAAAGACAGATCATGGCACGAAAGGAAGCAGAAGGAATATTTAACATCCCTTTTACCTGGCTATTACTGCGCACAAACATTCTTGGGTATTTGCAGTTGATTACTTCACCAAAGCCCTTTTATGTCCTATTTGAAATGGTGACAACCTTGATCCCTCCCTGACAAAAAGTACGGCCGACGTGTACTTTCTTCATAGGATCTCAGTATGTTTTAATGTGTAGACCAGGTGTTACAGTATGGGACTGTTTTTGTCTGAGGTTACGTGTTTTTAATTTTTCTAATTGCATGAACTTTATCACAAGACAAGGAAAACAAAGTATTAAACAAACTGTATCACCATAGTGTCCCTACCACCCCAAAAAAGCCAACAGCCTTACACTCAAACGTTATATAAACATGGTATCACAATAAAGCTGTTCTTCAGTTTCATCCTTGGTTGGCCTGGGTGAGGGTTAAATTTCTGAAAGGTAAACAGATGTGATGCAACCTTTCTACTTTGGGTCTTCCTTATTTCTCTCAAGGCTCTCCAACCTAAATTTATGTTTCCCCAAAATTCTTCGTAGTAGAAGGAAAAGTAGAAGTTTTGTCTATGTCTTTACCTTCTGCACTGCATTCCTACACACACCAGCTTCAAATACAAATTACTCACGTGGTCTAGCACATTTGGCTGAAGAGAGACAAAACAGAATCATTTTAATGACATTTTATACAAGCTACTGTAATGATCCTTCTCATATTTCTTTTAATGTTTCCTTTTTTTCCTAGATTATTGAGTTTTGTTCTTTAATTGAAGGTCATCTATTGCAGGATATTGTATAGCAAGTCTAAAACTACTAAATAACCTTCCTTTCCCAGATACCCTTTCCAGTGCCTATACTAATAATCCATGAAACTGCCAAAGTCTGTGGATTAACAAAAAATAAGACCCTAAATATGCTCCAAAGTTGTACAAACTAGCTCTGAAAGTGACCTCAGTATTATACATAAATAAACAAATAGCTCAAGTCTTCATCTTCTGTTTGCATCCCTTCTGTGCCACACCAAGGAAGCACCAATGAGAGGATGAGTGGACCATGCTCATCCCTGTACAAAGAATACAGCAAAAAAAATCACTTCCACTTACTTGGTGTTAATTCCGGGTTTCCTTTTAAATTCATCATTTTTGGAACTGAAGGTCCATATATGTCTGCATCAAGTAAACCAACTTCTTTTGTCTGTGTGAGGAACAAAAAAAAAAAAAAGCAATTGTCAAAACATCTGTCTTCCTTTCTGACTTATTAGCTGAGCAAAATTCAAAACGGCCCATAGAAATAAAAATAGGATCTTGCTTTTAGACATCAGTTATCATTGTTTTCTTTCTCTCTAAATTGCAGTTGAAGAATGAAACATAACAATGTCTACAAGTTGGGTAAGACATCCTTAAAAAATCTAGCTTGTCAATACACGGAATCCTCACTTACACATTTTCTTATTTACAAAATGTAGACCACAGACTTTATATTAACAAACATTATGAACAACGTTCTCTCTACTCCATGTACATTTATATAGAAGCAATATTTTAACTTTTTAAAAAAGGTATCAAATTTTATTGTAAAAAACCCCCAACAAATTAGGTTTGTAAATACATTCAAATTAATGCAATTCGAATTATACCAGTGACTACAAGGAATGCGAAAAACATAAAAAACATTTTTTTCCTCCACTTAAGTGGCCAGACTAAACTTCTGCAGACATTTTGAAGTTACTGAAATGCAAGTCTCTGAAGTTAATTAAGCAGGCATAACATTTTAATCAAATACATTTACAGGAAAGTATGCTAAAAATGGGTTTATTCAGCTACATATGGTACATTAGGCAATAAACTTGAAATAAAAATTATTTCAACTATGTAGTCTAGACTTACAAGAGTCTTTTCTATATTCTTTTTTATAGATATGCATACATATTTTGTGGAAATTAAAACTATTTTTCCTACAGATGGCAAGACACTACAAATTACCAAGTTCTGCAAATTAAGTAGTAAAGAGCAAGCCCTTTAAAGTGCTGAATGTCAAGTTTCTCTAATATAAAAAGCTAACTATATTCAACATTTTGCAAAATTGCAAACAAGTACATTTAAGGGCTTGTTTAAAAGGTTAAGGCAGCAATAGGAGCTTTTCCAACACTGCCAAATCAAACTTCCCCTACCAGTGCTTCAAAATGTGGGCTTTATTTTTTGAATGATGCTTTCCTAATCTGGTATCTTATATTAAGCATTTTGTTATCACAGTTTTGATGGGAAAGATAGAAAGATAAAAGCTCAGTGATAACTACTGAGTTTCTGGTTAGAACAGGAGTACAACAAGGTTTTTAATGCAAGTATACAGCATCTTTACCCTTGAACAGGACTTCTAAACATGAAGTATATTCTGTGGCACCACAATCTGTTTACTGTAGTTTTTCAATGCATCTGGATTAAAAACCTGGGTATTGGGGCCACTGCTACTAAATAAATCTGAATTCCAATTAAGATAAGGAAACTAACTCACAGAAGCCTAGACAACTGAGAAAAAAGACTGACACTTGTTAGTACAACATATCATAGAATCATAAAATCATTTAGGTTGTAAAAGACCTCCAAGATCATCAAGTCCAACCATTAACCTATATTTTGAGTTTCTGGGCATTGTTCTTCTGTAGAGGTTGCTTTCTCTTTTCCTTCTCTTTTTTAAAGCTGTTCATATTGAATCCTGAAAAACTATTACTAGGTCAACAATTTGAAGTGTTAAATTTACCTATTGTAAGATAAACGTATCTTATATTTTACAACTAAGGAGCAAAAAAAAAAAAAATTACCATATTTGATCTACTGTTTACTTGAAAAATAAGTTTTTACTACAGAAATCAACCAAAGTTGGGTTCAGTTGTTCAATATACTTTTTATTAAACAGAGGAAAGCATATGTAATTCTATGGATTATTTAATTTAGATTTTTTTAAACATTTTTTTCTTTACAACACCTTGTGAAAACTACTAGAAAAAAGTTCAGGAGTTTCTCTAACAAATTATTCTACTTCTTGCCTACTGTTATGAGAGCTGCAATTTCAAAAACATTGAAAAGACCCATTTTTATGTTAGACTTCAAAGACATCAACAACAGAGTATTAGAGCTTCTTTGTTCTTGTACAAGATGCACTATTTTAACAGATTAGAAAGATTCATGACCCAGTCCCTTTATCTGTGTCAGCAGCTTAATCGAACCCATCAAAACATCATCTAAGGGCTGTGCCACCTAACTCTTTTCCAACAAAAGCAAATATCTGTTGAAACGCCTACAGTGTTTTACACCTGACTGACATACTTTCCCTCAATTTTTTGAGGGTTCTCCCCACCCCCAGCATGGATTGTGACTATGCACTGGCTGACTACAGTGGTCTCATAACTCACTACAGTTTTTTCAGCCTAAAGGGACTAAAGATTTAAGATGATCTAAATTAATTAGACTCATCTTATGATCTCCTGGACATAATCAGGTCTTTACCAGTACAGGACACTTATTCCTAGAAGTCAGAAGGAAGGGATCTACAAGCGTACAAAATTTCTTGAATAGATATGTGCACACTGCAGAAAAACATCCTTCAATTACCTAGGAGGACTTTACAAATTCAGCTAATACTCCAAATTACGAAGCTGATCTTTGCTTCAAGCAATACAATAAACCTGATAATTTCTCAAAACAAATTAGACACCTCTTCAGATGTAAGGAAAGTGCCAGCTTCTGAGATGCACTCTATGTGTTCATGGATATAGTTCAATAAAACTGTTGTCTTCAAACAGAAAAATAATTAACAGATTCTCAAATATCTACAACTCATGTTTATGAAACCACAAGTGTTCCTGTAAGCATGGTGCTTTTCTACAGGATTATAGGAGAAAGGTCCTTTGGCAAATCTTTAAATCACTGGCAGAACCTCACGAAAGATAGCCTAAGGCAGGCGGTTTTTTTCTTCACCAAGTAATTCAACATGTTAGCTAAGAATTCTTGCTGCCTAAAAGTAGCAGCTTATGCAGAAAGCACTGGGCCAAAAAGCTCCTGCTTTGAGTCCCAACTATCCCTGCTTTTGCAGTATCTAATCATCCCTAGAATACCAATAAAATCCTTTACTCAATGTTTAATTATCTTAGAAATACATTATAGCAGTTACCAAGGGATCTTTTAATACAGGCCCAGCACAGTCCAGATCACCTCTTCCAGCATTTACAACATTTTAAATCCCCAAGAGAAGAAATAATATGCACGCACCTGGATGCTACCACATGAAACACATCAGAATTACCAACACCAGATACTTCTCATGCTGAGTGAAATGCAATCCAGATGCATGTTACAATAATTAAAAAATTAAATTAAATTTTAATAAATTGTGTTTCCCCCATATAATCCACACCTCATATAAAACAAGTACATCTTTCAAAGCACTGCTGTATTAAAACAAATCCTACAAAAACAGCCATAACATTAGACAAGGGAAAAAAGAACATCTGGGCAGAAGAAATAGATTACAGGGGATCACAAGCAGGACCAAGAAGGCAACTTAAAATAAAAAGAGTGGGGGGAAAGAGCTCTAAGATTCCTCTTATGCCTTCTGACATTATTTTCATATGCATATACATCTCATTCTGATAAATCTTTTTTTTCTTAAGTAATACTAGTTATACAGAAATGCAGTATGTAAAGCACATCCAAGCACACAGAACCCCCCCTGCTTCTAAGTCTTTTTTCAGAGCAGAGCACACACCACTGCTACAACCACCTTCAGCACTCTGCAGGAAAAGGCTTCAGGAAATACAACTCCACCATCTTCTTATGGCTGCGTTTTCTCCTCATAAACATGTTTCCATCCTGTGCTATTAAACAAACAGCATTCCATCTCTCCAGATGACATAGCAATAACCAAGTTCAAAACAGCTGTTCTCAAGTTAACATTTGTCCTTTTCCTTCCACCTGCCCAGCTGTGGATGAAAGTTTTTATCAATCTTCAAGTTAACTACACTTTGAAAATACTTTCTAGAGACCTGCATATTTTTGTTGCCTTACTGCAAGTTCTAAACAGCTAAATTCCCAAGATACAACTGACTATGTAACCACTCCCATATGATTTTATCATATAATCCCCAGTAATTGGAAGCTATTTTGAAAAAAAAAAATACAAACTAACACATAAAGAATTATTGACCTCTTCATACAGAATAAGATCCTTACCAAAATCCCATCAGGTAGAGAACACAAAATTAAAATTAAATATATTGTCAGCACCTGAAAACACAAAAGTACTCTCCTGTTTGCAAAAACTATACTTAAAAACTCAGAAATGTGCATATTTACCTTCTTGCTAATGCTTTCAAGATTTCTCCCCTCTTCAGATAAACACTCTAGCACAGGCTAACTCCCCTAGGATTTGCTCTTTCTGCAGCACCGGTACTGGCTGCTGTGGTCTCATGTGATCACTGGTGAGCTCAAGACCACAAAAAAAAAAAAAAAATTACAGAATAAAGGATTCCGATAAGACAGTATAACTCCTCTTCACCTTCTGCCTTTATATCCCTGACTACATACTTCTTTCTACTTCACTACCATTTATCTTGTCAGCAAGATATGAATTTGCCCGTTAGACTTCTCTAAAGATTTCTGAAAAACGTTCACCATAAGGTATTATAATTTATATAATCACTATAGCTCTTAACCCGATACAAATACAGTCAAGTTTTCATTGCAATTCAGAAACTTCTCTCACCTACACTAAGAAACGAAAACAGGTTTTCACAGTCACCAGGTAGAGATTCTATATTTACAAGAAACCAAATGCTATATCAATTGATAAAGAAGGTATTCTTGCATATATCCCTGAAAGATGACAATTCTACAGCTTCATTTTTTGCAGTGTACAAGTTACAGGCACAGATAACCTCACTAAAAAGATCCTTTCCTTTACCTTCTCTGGCAAGATTGTAAACGTAATTAAAGCTCACTTTAGTCCTTGAACCTGGCCACTGCCTTGGGAGCAAAGCAACCAAGATTTGGAGGACAACTGTATTCTAAACTAACAATTCTCAAGCTCTGAACTTATTTATAATTATTTTGGGGGGAAAAAATACAGTTGCTGAAGGCCATATTAAACAAAGTCCTGGCAGAAAAAGGTCTTGTAAAAAACCCAGAAATATCTGCCTCCTT